CTTTTTGGGGGTCCCTGCAGCCCCCGTCCCTCTGTGCCCGAGGGTCCCACAGCGCTGCTTTGTCTCCTGCCCAGGGAAGTGGTTTGTGAGCACGGGGAAGGACAACCTGCTCAACGCCTGGCGCACGCCCTATGGAGCCAGCATCTTCCAGGTGAGGGGCTGGGGAAGCTCAGAGCGGGGGCTGCTCCCCCCCCCACCCTCACCCCCATCCCCTCTCCTTCCAGTCCAAAGAATCGTCTTCGGTGCTGAGCTGTGATATCTCCATCAATGACAAATTCATTGTGACTGGCTCTGGTGACAAGAAGGCCACGGTGTATGAGGTGGTGTACTGAGCTCCCTGCTGTCTCTGTTGCTCAGATACTTGGAGGCTGAGCCCCCAGACCCCCAGCGCTGCTGCAGCCCCACTGCACTCTGAGTTGCTCATTCCTGGTTCTCTTCCTGCAAGCTGGGGAGCAGGAGGTGACACCTTGTGGGCCCCCCCCCCCCATTCTGGATGCTTGATGGAGGGGGGCTGGTTGGGGTGAGGGATGCAGGATCCCCTCCACGCAGGGGGATGCTGGGCAGGGGGTGGTCAGATGTCAGTCTGGTAGGGAAAGGGGACACAGCCACGAGGGGCAGGAAGCTCAGAGCCTCGTGTTTTCCCTGCCCTCCCCCCATTTACTGCTACTGATTCAATGGCACCAATTTTCTGCTGCAGTCCCAGCTGTGAATTATCAGTAGAGATGTATTTAATGGCGTTTTCAAATCCTTACTAATTAAAAAAAAAACAAAAATGAAAGAGTGGTTGGGGGGGGGGGGGGGGGGGGGGCTGAGCTCCTCTAGGGCACCATGGGGTGATGGGGAGGACCTTGATTTACACGGGGACTCAGCCCCTGGGGGTGCTGAAATGCCATGAGGGGCTGAAATGCCCTCTTCCCCCCCTGGCTCCATGCACAGCAGCCCCCAGCCCCATCAGCCCCTGCCCTGCGATGCACCGCGCTGCTGTTTGCTTTTTATTATTAAATATGCCCTGGTTGGGTGCAGGGGGAGATGAGGAGAGCTCTCATCCTGCCCAGCCCAGCACTTTAACAAAAAAAAAAAACCACAAAAAAATGACATTACAAAAGAAAGCCCCCTTCGCTCCCCCAACCCCCATTTAGAAACAAACCAACCAATAACGAACCAAAGGAGGAGGAAACCTCTGGGAAGGGCCCTGCGAGCAGCAGCTGCCTCCCAGCACTGCAGGGTCCCCATCGCCAATGGCTCCAGGCCTGGGCTGCCACCCCTCTGTGTCAGAGTCCGTCTGTCCGTCCCCATGGCTGTGAGTCCGTCTGCTCTCAGGGAACAGACCCAGGCCGTCACCTCCGAGACTCTCAGTAAATGACTTCGTAGACCGTCGCCTTCTTGTCTCCGGAGCCGGTGACGATGAACTGATCGTCGGTGGAGACGTCGCAGCTGAGGACGGAGGAAGTTTCCTTGGACTGCAGAGAGGGGAGGGCAGGGCTGGGTGCCGGCACCAGGGTGCAGGGCTGGGTGCTGAAGGAACGCCAATGGCGCCGAGCGGCGCTGGGGGCAGCTGGGCTCACCTGGAAGATGCTGGCTCCATAGGGCGTGCGCCAGGCGTTGAGCAGGTTGTCCTTCCCCGTGCTCACAAACCACTTCCCTGGGCAGGAGACAAAGCAGCGCTGTAGGACCCTCGGGCACAGAGGGACGGGGGCTGCAGGGACCCCCAAAAAG